ACTGTCGACTTTAAAGCGCTCGCCCTAAAAAAGATACAGCAGTCACATCGGCACTACTGAATATATTATAAATTACACCATGCATCCATTAACAAAATATACAAAGCCAACAGAAATATATCGATCTTAAGCCTGAGCACACATTACCTAAACCCTAGTGAAAAGTAACCGAAAGAAAACAGCATTTCACACTTCCCATTTCAGTCGGCAATGAAGTGTTCCTCCTCAAACCTCTTAGTGTTTTGTTAGGTTATAGGACACGTTGACACCAAGTATGAAGGTACACACAGAAAGAACACACGTCCTGCTGGGCATTCCAGATCAAAATAGATAACCACACTAAGCTTAGAAACTTCACCAGCTACTGCACTTCATCCCTGTCCCTTCCTCCTCCTCATGCTAGAGCAGGCATAAGCCAAAAGGTACTTAAAACAGCATGCATAAGTTAAGGTAGGAAAAAACCCAGGGGTTTCAAGTTACAGAAAGATCCTTATCTGGTCCACAGCAGGCAGTTGTACTGGTGTACACAGAGATGGGAAACACTGCAAAGTAGTTCTACTGTATTTCAAAATAAACATTCAAGAGTGTATCTTCCACAATCTATAAAAATAGGTTTAAAACAAAAATGGTATGATACACTTTTTTCTTCAATTATTTTAATGGTATCTTACCTCTAAGTGTATTATGTCTTTTAAAAAATTACTACTACTGATCACCTGGTCAGTCCCAACACTGACACAGCTTCAGCTACATTGTGACAATGCAGGAACTCCTTAGCTTGAAGCAGCAGTAGCAGAAAACATTTTAGGATCAATGGTCTCTTACCGCAGCAAGGAAAAACATTTGCTTGGAAATAAGAACGTAGTCAATACTGCTGCCACCTTCAGAGGGACTGGACTCTGAAAAGTTATCTATGGATGCACCACTGCACAGCAGTGGGCAATGCTCATTTCTTGTGATTCTTCAGAATCAAATCCCTCAGCACATTTAGAAGGGAATTCTTATATTTCCAAAGTAAATATGGGCATCTAAAGCTAGATCTTGTGAGAAAAATTAAGCCTACAGATGTGTCTATGGAAACACAGGAGCAGCTAGAAGCATCACAGGAGACTGTACACTTAAAACTGCTTAAGTTAAAGCATTTTTCAAACTATAAGGTAAGTCTCACAATCCCTACCTCAAGCACTCTTCCCATTCCTAAACACTACCAGAATTTGTACTCCAGTTCAGGTCTGGATTTCTACATAGTCTTGAATTCTTCTATGTGGTAGTAACAGAATAAGAGGTTTGCACTATACTAAAAAAAAAAAAAAAAAAAAAGACAGTCGTCAAATTTGTAACATTTCTACAAAGAGCCTGTAAAGATTCTTAGAAAGGCCTTTCCTACCCTCACACTCCATTTTTAACAAAATACTTCATGTAGGCTATATTCTTCTGTTAGAGATACATTTTGCACTATCATTACTAGAGCTGGTTCAATTGTCACTGGTAAATTCACTCTCCTGATTCATTCTGCTACAAGAAACAAATTTCCTGGTATTCATCAGTTTAACAATAGTTACACTTTCAGACTTTTCAGAAGTTGTTTGATGGTTCAAAATGGCTTTTTGTGTATGAGCAACCTTTTTCTTCCAAGAACCATTTGTAAGGTTTAAGCCTGTTACATTACTACCATGCATTGGACAAATCAATTACTGAATCAAATCAGAAGAAACAACTTGCTAGTTGTGGGCATCTCTCAAATTAGGCAAGACTGCATTTTACAGCAGCATTTTACATTGGTTCCTCAAGACTACACTTTACAGCAGCATTTCACATTGGTTCCTATTCCAAAGCTTGTTAAAAGTCAACAGAACAAGTTTCCAGCTGCCTAAAAAAAAAAAAAAAAAAAAATTGTTACACACAATAAAGGGGAAGTTCTTATCTGGGTGGAAGTTTAAGTAATTCTACAGGATTCCCTGATAAAAGGATTCAGTATGAAATTAGAGACTTAACGACTACTCATTTAACTATGAGGTCCAAATAACAGTTGAAATTCTGGTCTCCAATTCTAAGATGCTGTGACAAGCACTGTTTGACATTTCCATGAAAAAAGAAGTCAAAAGTTCAAAGAAAAGCCAAAGTTCTAGTCACACCTCCAAACAGAAAGCAGCTGAGGAGCAGCCTGCTACTGTTACAGTGTTTAACGAGCATTTACTCAATGAAGACGATTCCTCCTCCACCAGGAAGGTTCAGCATCTACTGCTGTACCAGTCACTGTTATTGATCTGAAGCAATTCAGTTACCACTTGAACCATATTATTGTTGTGTTTCTTCAGCAGTCGCAGGTTTAACTGCCTGTCACAGAATCCCATCTCACACAGACTGGATAAAAGAGTGGCAGTGTGCTCTTCTGTAGCTGCAGGCTGCTGAAAACAAAAGGTAGTAAGGTAAGTTATAAAAAGAAAAACTTATTTTTGCCATTTGAAGCAGTGGTCCTGCATTATACCAGAATATAATTAAGGCACAGAGGCCCTTTTGTCCACAATCAACCTGTTTATATTCCCTTTCACTGTTCACTTACAAAGGTGAATTACTACTCTGACTGGACACTATAGGACACACGCTTCTATCCCCATGGTATGAATTTCCCTATCTGCTGGTGGAGCAGCACACTTCAAAGGGATGCTATCAGGCTTAACGTTTTACTGTTGCATGAAGTCCTATACAGAGTATCGACACATTTATAAAACATACATCTGTAATTTTAAGGTTGGCATTCTGTGAAACTCATACAGCGTACAGGAAAGACATTTACCTGTTCTATAATGGGTGGTCCAGCAAATAATGCTTTGTAAGCAGAAGCAGCAACTGACAGAGCTCCTTTAACTAGTTCTCCTGCAATGCTGCTTCCTTGAGGGTATCTGCAGAGAAGTCAAGTATTATTTTAGGGTCAGTAAAGCCAACTGTTTGTTTCACGTGAAATGGAAGTCTCCCCTGTTGATGTGCCAACTGAGATTTAGTTCTTGTTGAAGAGAACAACCTGTGATCCAAAGCAATCATTGCTGTTTGGGAATGGAGCTATGCAGGAAGCTAATTCCTTCTTTCTTGATACCTTCTATTAATTGTGGTTTTACGCTGAAGTACATCAGTCTGCTTTCCATAACATGACCTTCTGTAAAGAACTAAGTAGTCTCACCCAGAAGAGTACAGCTATACATGAAGGCTGTACCCGGTGACACATCCATTCAGGTCAGAGTAACTTCCGTTTGTTTTCCATCAATTCTTATGTCACTTAATATTCTGCTCAATGTTTTGTCTTATTCCTACAGTCTCAGTATCTTAAGATGCTTAACTTTGCAGATAACTGAAAAAAAAAAATCCCTATTTTAAGAATCCTGATATTTTGCAGAAAACCACAGAATTTTAGAAGGATCCGGCTTGAGTTCTTCATACATTTTTGCTTGCCGATCCTGTATCCTTCATATTCCTGTCCAAGTAGAAATCAAGCTTATGAAAATATAGTATAATATAATTCAGCATGTTTCCTTTAAGAAGGGGTGCCTTTATTCAAAATATTAACTACATGAGATCTGTAAGATGTGCTTTTTCCTAGGTACCTAATTTAGCAGTTCTCGGTTTAAAGCAGCGTTTGTGAAGTCACAGCTTCAGTTTCATTACCTTGGGTATTCTGAGCACTTCTGTTTACTAGTTAGAAATCCAGAAGATCCTGGTCCATGACTGTCTTCGCCACTGGGTTCTGGAAAAGGAAGAAAAAACATCGTATCAACATGTCCAGCTAAATAGATGCTGAAGAGAAGCAACATGTACATAAATGGAGTGTGATTCACACCAAAATAAATACTTTTAAGTAAAACCAGACACAAACTAGGTATACAGGATTCTCACTGCAGCCAAAACAATCAAAAGAATTTCAGAAGTCATTTGGATGATCAGTCAGTGGGTGTTTACTTCAACATCAGATGAATTGCTGTCTGAGCTCCCAGTGACTGTAACAACAGCTTATGTGCATAGCTCATTAATTCCAGAGCAAGGCAATCTTCCAGATGTCTGCAAATACTTCCGAGTACCCTCCTACCATTTCTAATTAATAGATGCTCTTAAGTGATCCACAAAGACTATTATTTCTTTATTCAAATCTTCTAGATAGTAAAATTTCAACACCCAGAGGAAGAAAACATTACTTGGTAGATTTCTGCTCTCCTCAAGAATAAGTATCAAATCCAATACTAGGCATAAAGAATAGGCAATAGCAACAGATGTACCCTTCATTAACTACTGTCAGTACCTTCTCTTATTTGATTATGAGGAACAGAAGAGAGATTCTCTGAAGCAGATACAGTTGGTTCTTGGAAGATACAATTCTGAAGAGATGCAAGATTCCTGAGAACGTAATGCAATAAAGTTACTTTTACTACTTTCATTCTACACATACACATATAGGTAAGTCAAGATCAAGAGACAAAGCACACGCTCCATTCTTTCCCTTTCTTGCACTCATCTCATCAGCAAGTACAGGCTTTAAAAAAAGTTGCAGGATTTAGGACATTAACTCCAGCACATAACAAAACTTTTGTTGCAACAATTTCTGTTTGGACACGGAACTTAAAAGCACAACACCATGCAGACTCCACAGCAACAGTAACATAATCGTTCTGTTCTTGTCCAAGAAGCATACCTTTCTGTCTTGGGTAAGGTGTCCTCAATCTCTGGGGTTAGTGGTACTACAGCCAGCGTTTTTGAAGTTGTCAGAATATGAGTGACACTGTCAATCTGTGACTGGCTTCCCCCTTCCGGATTCTCTGCTTCTGTTTGAGGTTCTCCTGTCTTTTCCAAACTCGGCTGAGAAAGAGCTGAACTATACAGAGACTCCCCTAAAGGACGACTGGTGTCAAAGCACTCAGGGAGAATAATGATATAATCCTCCGACGAAGCAGAGGAGCCTTGACTTTGAACATCATCTTTATCACCATCTTCCTCCGCATCAGAATTGCCAGTATTACTACAGGGGCTTGCTCTCTCATCAGACAGTGGAAGGTCCCCTAACAGAAGGGGGGGGGGAAAAAAAGGATTGAAAATTGTCCATTTTGTATGGGTAACAGCAAAGACAGTGTTTTCCCAGATACGAGGCAAGTATTCAGAAACAACTGTAAACTTTTGCTGCCAGTATTAATGGTATAATTTTGTCTATTATGGACAGGGTGGGGGCGTAGTGTGAAACACTAACAGATCTTACTGTTAAGCCTATGCAGATACGCTGCCGATAGATAGATATATGCACGCCATGTAATAAAAACAGGAGTAAGAGGTACACAGAGAACTTAGTTTTCAGCTCCTAGATTACACGTATCAGGAACGGTTCAAAGCACTGACTTCAAGCTACATGTACAAAATATGGAAGCACCAGCCACGCTTAACATACGAGCACTTATTTGAATACCTGATTGGAACCTTTATGTCTCAATTTAACTCTGAACGAGCAGGTAGTATAACAGCTGTTTTAGAGTAGTGACACCAATTTTCTAATGTAATAACAATTTCTCTTGATCTAATGAGGATCAATTTCCTAGCACAGTGTCAGATCTTTTTACACCTGATTTTTTTTGGTAGCCCTTATTATAGCTTTTTCTTAAATTCAAACCTATTTTACTCACCACAGTCATTTTCTGTCACTGCCTCTGTCTGATGAATCTTTGCTTCCTTTTTGGAAGCAGAACTAGTTCTTATCCTAGGAGACTCTTCATTTAGCATATTGCAACTGAAGGCATCTTGCAATGTTTGTAAAGAATCTAATAAAACAATTGGTGAAAAACAATTAAAGCGGTATCAGCACCTGCAGTGCAGGGCAATTTGTGGCCAAGGTCTGACTGCAAAAAAAGTAAAGCCACAGAAGCCAGCTAAAGACAGTACTTACTCTGTAGGACTTTCTTTTTTTGGGGGGGCTTATGGTCAGGTGCAGCATCCAGCGTTAGAGAGCGAATCACAGTTTCACAGACAAACTGAGTCCCACTCATATCTTCCTCCCCTTCCTCCTGGTTCAACGGATGTTCAGTCTTCACTTTCACTATGCAAGTATCTGCAGGAAAGCAGGCTTCCGTCATTCCTTTGAAAGGGAAACGTAGCAGATTATTTTACCACCACCACAAGGAAATGGAAGCATAAGTACAACTTTCTAGGCTAGCCAAGGCTAACATCGACTCCATATGTTAATTCTTTTTAAAAATTGAAAGACTCTTGAATTCAGTTCAAGTTGAATGTGAAAGTGATTTATGGGGGCCACACTTGGAGTGTTTGAGTATAATCTAGTCTACAAAGGGCAAACTGTTAATTCTCCCAACTATTCTAGTGGTTGGACAAATCAAGAGAAGCATTTTTACTTCTGAATTCTACATGTATTATGCTCCAGCCTCTACAATCCGAAAGCAGCATCAGACTACAGGTTTGAACCAAACAACTGTTTGTTTTTCCACAGAAGAGAAAGACAGGAGTTAGAATTCCTCTTAGACATCAAGTCTGATGACCGCACAGAATATCCTCCCTCCCCTGACCCCCAAGCTCCCCATGACTACTGCTTACCAGGCACTGGTTTAAATCCACTCCCCTCGTTCTCCTCCTCTATCTGACCTAAACCAGGTTTCTCCAGCAAGGGGCTATCATGTGGCAAAGGGGACATGCATGGAGTCATGTCTGAAAAACAAAGGTAGCAAAGGTAATTGACACTAAGGGAGTAGGAACCTTCCTTCCTCAAGGAGGCAATCTTTTAAGAAGTTACCCTTTTTAAAGGGATATTCTTCCAAGACCGAAGAAATCCAGTTATCTTACAAGATAATTTGGCAAAATAAACAACTAGCTTTGCATTACACTGGCACTGGTCGAGCAAAGAAAATGGCAGTTTTCTTCAATGTCTGTAATCTTATGGTCCTGCTTAAAAGGAGCCAAGACTGTAAAATAAAAAAGGACAGCTGTCTGTGTTACAGACAGCACACAGAATACAAGAATCTTACCAACAGGAGTATTGTGTGGCACTCGCTCCAACTCCTGCACAATATTAATGTCCAACAGCTCAAACGACAGCAAATCCTACAGAAAGAACACCACAGTTTTCATCAGCAAACCCTGAAATGGAATCCTATGCTGTACTTCCCAGCATCAGATCCCATTAATTTATAAATGACTCTGTTAGTTACTCAGCATGATCTCAGAGAGGGAAGTTTTCCTGTAACATACATCCACATCATAGTGCATGGTACACAAATTAGGGCAGCAAGAGGCAAAGCTAAGTACTCCCTTGTTAGGAGCCAGAGAGAGACCCAGCTCTGTGACTTTTTTGAGAATCTTAGTCCCTCCTCACATACCTTCCACATAGTGACAATTCCTGATACCAATTCAAGAAAATAGTTCTGCTACACAAAATGCAATACATTCTTCCTGAAAATACAGTTGCTATTTTAGAGCTCAGAAGTTTTTTATTCTTATGGATGTCTATGTACCTAGACATCAAACCCAAGGTGGTTCATCTTATATCTACCTGAATTTTAGCACTTTACCTGTGCAGTGAGGAGATCAACAGACGGGATGTAAAATTCTCTCTCACTTGGCAGATTTTTGATCTTTAAAGGCACAGGTATTTCAGCCTGCTCCATGATTTCACCCATCAGTTGAGCATCTGCTTCTGTCTTTAAGGAAGCATCCTGCAAAAGCAAAAAAATAACATCCCAGAAGCCCCTTAGGTCAGGCAGCAAATAAACCAATTACACGAAATGTCAAGCCTGAATTTTGTGCATAACACAAGTAACTTGAAAGAGATTGAATTCAACTCATTTTAGAGCCAAAAGGACCTAACAGAGAAATCCTGCAGTGTTTCAGTTCAATCAAGGATAACTAGACAAACAGCTGCAACAGACTGATAACTAATCCCATGCCTGTCAAAACGATTGAATCATTTTAGAACTAATAAATGCAGTAAAAGTTGTGTTTCCTTTCTATTAAAAATAACAATTAGAAGCAAACTAAAAGAATCCCCTAGAAATCGATACAGTTAGGGACACTCCACCATTGCACCGAGTAATACAGTCCTCTTTCTATTATGCAATTCAGAACTGCCCCAAATACCAGATGAGTTACTTGCCTGTTTGGTGCTGGAAGCTTCACCCTTCTGACAGGAGTCAGAATCCTTCCAATTGCTTTCTGGATAGTCAGTTGCTGGAGAAGGATCCACAACAATACTGCACCAGATTCTGGGCCCAAACTGTTCCCCTCTGTGCGACAGTCTCCAGTGAGATGTGTAAGTTCCTTCTATATTAGGAGCTACAAACTCAACTGAAACAGTTCCTACATGTCCTGATGGAAGGGACGGCACTAACACATCTTTTTTTTCAGAAGATGCCAAGGTCAGATTTCCCCACATAAGTTTCAGCTGAAATATACAATAGAAAAAGCAAAAGTTAATTTCACAAGCTTCTCCGCAAACTGCAGGCAGTAAGGAGCACTTAAAAGTTCCTCTATTGAAAGGCCTCCTCCTGTAGGCATAGAGAAGAAAGGCTGCTAGTAAACATTCTCACATTAGCCACTGCCATCACAAAGACAGAAGATAATCCCATCTTTCAACATGAACACAGTCAGTCACAGGAGAAAAGCTTTTGCAACACACCTGCTGTACACGAGGTTGAACTGTAACATAGCAGCACTGGAAGACACGTTCAGTGACGTTAATCTTGACTGCTTTCCTCCTACAGGAGTACCTAGACAGCTAACTGCCCCAGAACTCCCAACTTGTAAATTAGAAGGCCAAATGAAATCCTAAATTGGTTCTGATAGAGAATTCACATTCCTAATGCATACAAATATTATCTTCCAGAACTATTTTAGTGTGTAAAACTAATAGCAAACGCAAGATACCTTTGTGTCTGAGCTCCATTCCACATTGCCAGTATTTTTCATTCGCCAGTGTTTGATAAACTTTGTTCCTGGTTGCAAGTGAGTCCCATCTGGCAAATTCTCATCCACAAATGCTGCACTTAGTGTTGGGACAATTGCTTCGAAGGGTTGACTAGGACTCCTGGGACTGGGGGGAAAAATACAAACAAATACACCAAAACCCACCAAAACTGAGCAAGTTGTTTGGCTGCTATTTTACTGGGTAAAAACAGAGGAGGCCATTTAGTTCGTTTTCTTCTTCCATTTCTACAAGTATTTCAAATTTCTAATGCTTTAGCTACTGTTTTCACCTGAAGTCTATACACCGCAAAGCAGTTTGCTTTTCTTTGCTTAAAGAAAAAAGAAACACGTCAAAACAAGATTTGCTTATTTGGAAGAATAATTACAGAACTCAGCTTTAACAGAGAAAAGTTCACTGTTTTTCAGATTTGATTTAGTCTGACAGCACTACAGGCTATGCTATTCTGCCAAGTCAATGAAGTCATTATAATGCTGAATCAAAAAGACTGTGCTATAGTCTAAGCACTAGCATCTTTTATTAGGCCTTACAAGTAACATTTTTCAGCAAGATACCACAGTTTTTGCCTGAAAGGGGCTCAGAAAATAGATTTAACCCAAAGCTTTACTGTTAATTTGGGTGCACTGAGAGGGGACTGGTGAAGCAGCTCATATGCTTGCCTAAAGATCTAAAAGGAAGAATTTGGACCTAAATTAACATTGGATTTGTTTCTGTAACATGCCTGTTCAGCAAAAAAGGAAGCAAAGATAGCTATTTCAAGCTCCCCACAAACGTAACCGATTAATGTTAACTGACTTTTGAATGTTCTAAATGGAAGGGATGGATTAAAAAAACTAGAACTATACAAGTTTTACACCTGTACGTTCATAAAACCAAAGGGAATGGAAAACACAAAGCAGGTGCCTGCAAAAGCTGCTGTCCAGCGAGCCTCAGCCCCACATAAAAAGAAAAAGAGCACTGAACATAAGCACACAGAACACACTTGACTTTAAGCAGAGACACTCAATATAGCAGGAAGATACAGACTTTTTTTAAGACTGGCAGTAACATTAACTCGCAGTGTATGTGCACACATGCATATATATGTAATCCTAGGCAACCTGCTTCATCCTAAGTCTATATAAATCTGTAAGTTTCTGGTAATAACCATCAGTTGTTGTTTTTTTTTTTTCTTCTACTCTCTTCTCAAGTAAGAGCACTCCACCTCACAAATTCCATTGAGACAAAATTCTCACAGGGTCCAATGACAAATGTTACTTTAAATGAGCAATTTCATAACCTTCCTCCTGTACTTTAACTTGGTCTCATCAGAAAAGGTCAGACAGCACAACTAAGATATGCTCAGCTAACAACATCTCTTACAGGAAGGTATTAGGTTGGAGATTCTCAGATTTCAGAGTAGGTGAGCCACTAGTTTCCAATACATGGACAGAGTTCCACAGATGAATTTTCCTGTGCAATTTTAGCTGCTTTTTGAGCTCTCGGACCTCTGCCTTCCGCTGCTTCTTCTCTGCTCGTAATCTTTGCTTTTCTGCCTTCAGAAATCTTTTGTCCATCTGTTTCTGGAGCCTGCAGAGAGAACATGCCACCTTGTTATAACCCATTAAATTAACTGGAATTCAGCTTTAGCCAACACAGTCTTAGTCTCAAAGGGAACTCTTCAGGAAAGTCTCATGCTTCTAGAGTTGGATGCGAGATGATTTTCAAAGAAAAACTTCATAATTGCTTGTGAAGACATTTTGAATGGCCTCAGTGAAAGAGCAAACTTAGCAAAAAGGCAGATTAGAGCACACTCAAAGAAAAAGCGAACTCTCAAACTCTACCCACCTTTGACACAAAGTCCGGCTTTGTTATTAAAAACACTGTAATATTTGTGACTTAGGCCATTTATAAGCATATCTTTAGCTACTCACAATGAAGTTTGAGTACCATTTCCATTTCTAGTTATTTCTAAATCTAAAATAAAAGCTGAACATCAACCCCAACAGAGCTGTTTCCACTTTGCTATCAGGATAATCCTGTCAGATACTGACAGGTGCCACCATTTACCTAACTTGCTCCAGAGTAGCAGGCAGGAGAGGTGAAAACTCTGCAAAGCTGTAATTCTCTGCAATACATAGCACAGGTCTTCGTAGCTTTAACAAGATGTGATTAGGATCATGCGCATATGTTCCTGCCTCACACTGCTCACAGATACTGTAGGCTGGACAAAGGCTGCAAAGTAGAAAAGGCAGATGGTTACCAAGGGTCAGACAAAGAATTAATGCACTAGGAAAGGACGCTGAAGGATAATTAATTCTTACATTTCTGCAGAGAAACAACTCTAGATCATATTACCATTGTAAGCAGTGCCTGAGTGAAACAGAAGCTGGTTCTCTCACTTACACAACAATACTTGGAGCCATCTGTAATATCTAGATCAATATTTCTCTTCCTGGCAAAACTGCAATACAGTTCCCACCTTCTTGAACACACACTGAAAAAACCCGATGCTTCTTTTAGCAGAAGTTACTAACAACTGTTGCTATAAAGGATAAAACATTACACTGAAATCCAATGCCAGAAACAGCATACTTCTGAAAATACAGACGATATGTCAACTGAAGTATTCAGGGATGCAAAGCAGATTGGTCCTGCAGGAATAGGACTGGTAAAAAACAGACTGTCATCTCCTGCCAGCAAGAACAATAAACATCCAAAGAAAAACCCCTGTTGGCATTCCATTCACTGCAGCCGCCTAGTCCTAAAATACTTACCTTTACGGCAACTGTCTCATTCAAATAAAAGCTTCACTTTTGACACCTCACTTAATACACTCATCGAAAACTATTTCATATTATTAAACTGACAACAGTGAGATCATTAAAAAAAAAAAGCATGACCTGCCTTAGTCTTGCTGACTGTCAGAACTAAATAAAGGACTATTAAAGACTGGTGGTTATAACTAAACAAAAAAGCAAAGCTTAACTGAACCAAATGAAACATTTTCCTCTACAATTATTCCACGTTACATGCAAAAACAGTAAAGAGTGTCTGAGAATACAGCAAGCGTTATAAATTCTCTCACTTTCTTTTAACAACGACATTTTCTCAAAATAGTATTAATCTTGCTCTGCTACAGATAAGGTCTAGTCACCACAGCAGAGAACATCAGCTGTTTGACAGACACATACTAGACATTCTGAAATGCACAGCACACTCTACAGATTAGAAATGTAGAAGTCTACAACACTAAGGTAAGTTTCTCAGACTCATTCACATGACCTATACATTAGGGTTTCCCACACTCCCATCTCTCATCATATCCTACCTGCACTGGTAGCGAACTCCAACAATTCGGGCCTGGCAGTTGCAGCAGGAGATCAGCCAGTCACACTGGTTGCCATTCCCCAATTGGCTCTCTGAATTTGTAGGTGCTGCTGTAATAGAGCTCTCAAAAAAATCTGGAGGCTGATTGTGACAAGCAAGCTTCTCGCACAGCTTCTGCTCCAGTTTCTCAACAGTTTCCTTCACTACTTGTTCCCTGAACTGGAAAAAAATCGTAGTAGTCATGGATGAGACACACCTACACAGCTTCAAAAGCTGGATGACATTGTCCCAAGTCTCCCAATCCATAACTCTTAAAGCATTTCAGAATCCACTTCCCAACCTCCCAGCATTTCAGATGAAATTTAACAAGTATCACATTCCTCCAAGAGGACTTGTATTCTAGAAAATACCAGTCCACAGCTTTTAACAAGGCAAACTAAAAGTCATATACTCGTGCTTAGAGTATCAAGGTTCTTCTTCCATAACCTTGCAGAAAGAGAAGGAAACTAATCTCTGAGCCAATTAACACAACTCCAAACAAACTCCTCTGGAGTCTCTATCATTAAGCCCTGATTTCGTCCACCAGGGATGTTTTAAATACAACCATTAAGTTCCTCCATCTTTAGTTTGTATAAAGAGGTGGCAAAGAAAGGGAGATGTCAAAAAAAATAAGCCTAAAGACAAGTGCATATACTATTAAACATCGTACCTTTTAGTTTCACGAAGTCACTAACTAATTAATTCTTAGCCTTCGTATCTAATTGCTTCTCGGTGACGTTTATTAGCCGTTCAAAGCAAGTTAACACCCACATCTTGTTAACCTATAGGTTATACTCAATGGTCTCCTGAAAGTACTTTCTTAAACTGAGCAATCAAGAAAAGCAAGGTCATCAAACACTATGCTTCAAATCTCAGGAGACCTTAAGTATTACCCTACTGAAACTGGTCAAACAAA